ATATTGAAGAGGATTTCTCTCAATAGAAAGCGAGGCTGTTGATGTAGGAAGAAATTTCTAGTGCTCTGGAGTGCTCTAATTTACTCTGGTTGTCAAATATTCAGAAGCATATCTATGATTATACCAAAACAACTTCAAATAAGGCCCACTTGATGCTGTCATTTTAAACTTCTTATTGGAGACTCATTTGGACCTCCTTTTTGCAGTAGTTTAGGAGCTTTTAGCTTCAAGTTTCTTTTACATTTGCTTTGCTGCTGGAGGGTTCTGGATACCACATGAGGGGGAAAATGTAACATAGTTAAATAGATTGCAGGGATGCTCCAGTTTCAACCGTTTGATGTTTTTTTTCTTTGACTTTTTCATTCATTGCATCAATCAATAATTGCCTCAGTATCACTTCTTTTTCTTTGAATTTCTTCACATATTTGGGCCTCTTTGTATTTTATGGTTTTCCTATTTGGTCTTATTTATCTGTTTTCTTGAAGGATATAAATTCATTCCTTTAAGGAATTAATTATATGTGTCAACAATTAATTATATTTTGATATAAATAAATAAATGTGTCAAAAATTAATTAATTAACCCTCTGAGTTTGTCAGTCATTACTTTTTACGTCTTTAACCCTTAAAACACCAGTTTGTTTGTACAATGCACTTGTTGGAAGACAACCTCAAAACTCACCATTTCATATATTCACAATGCTACTGGATTAATGGAAGAGTCTGGGACATGTAATTGATTAACGTCAACATTGATTATCTTCTATTGTTATTTTTGTGCAGGGAAAGCAAAATAGATCAAACTATCTTTCAGCTTGTTTGTTTGTTCACAAATTGAGAAAATCATAAAATGTTTTCCGAAATAACACATGCAACCTGATCTATTTTTAACCATCATTGCAGCTACATGTATAGCAATAATGAACAGTATCAATGATTTTCATGCGATATTATATTTTTGTGCAGTTACAGAAAAACAGAGAAACTCTCTCTCAGCATGTTCATGTTGTTTGCATTCACAAAATGCTATAAAATTCAAATATGGCTAAATGATGGCTAAAGAACCAAACAGGACAGGCAAAAAACAAAACAAAACATTTTTCTACTTTGCCTGACTTGATTTTTTAAATTAGCACCAGTCCTAGTCGTGAAAACTAAAATATTTTTCAAATTCAGAAACTATAGCCTTCAAATACCAGTCAAATTACACATTACTGCTAACTTTTTAGGAAAAATAGCAATAAAGTTCAAATTTTTTCACCAGAAATGGCCATTTAATGACCAAACGACCACTACAATAAGCAAAATTTGTATTTCAGTGTGTGTGTGCATCCTCATTAGCAGCAGGATGTGCTAACCACAGTAGCGTGGTCTTTGTAGGCACACTTCCACAGCTGGAGAAAGTGGCTGCTGTTCTAATCCTACAGGTGCACCTTTTGCATCTTTTTCTCATTTTGTTGGTGGGCTGTGGGTCACACTCTGATTCAGACTACTGTATCTTGGGATCAGTGGCAGAAGCGACTGATGAGCATCGGGGACAAAGCTATCTTGCAGCTGCTGAGGTCACCAGCATGCACCCCAGCTCTTCTAGGATCACTCTTCATTTGTAGATTTTAAAGGACTCCCACTCTTGTGAAGTGGTTTCCACGGGACAAAGGCATTATATTCCAAGACATCTAGGAGATTGTAGAAAAAAGCTAGCAGCCAGCAGCTAGTTTTCCTTCAACAACTCAAAGTGCCAACATCCTGCCTAGGTCATCCACACTGGACAAGCTGGGGAGGTAGCTTTGCGTTGTTTCCCCTGATTGTGCCAACAAGAGCCAGTTTTCATCTGAGGAGTTTCTGTGCCAAGGTGAACCCCTTTCCCTTTTTTTTAAACTTTATAATAATATGTGTTATATATGTTATAAAGAAGTCAAAGGTAGATCTCAGGCTGCTAACACAGAGAACTGCATATAGGGTGGGCCATGGGCACTGGATTTTAAAGCAGTCTCTCTTCAGTAGTGGGACCCACATGGTTTTCCCTTCATGAGAGATCCACTCAGTCGCTGACTCCTTGTTCTCAGAAAATGCTACTATATTCTTTGCCATCAGGTCTTCGGCGTCGACCTCTGTGTCAGTAAAGTCACAGTGGGACCTGTCATAAAGACAAGAAAAAAAAAATGTTAGCAATCTGTCAAAAATGCATTTAAATAAAAATTACATTGCTATTAGGCAAATAAACTGAATTCACAATGTTAGATCACGTTAGATCATATGGTTAGCACACCAGAATTCTCGGAAGTCATCAATGGATTTGTCATCTTCAGTAAAAAAAAAAAAAAGTATGTGCTTTAGTATTTTTTTTCTGATTACTTGTATAAAACCTGTCCAATTATTCACAGTGGACACACATCACATATTTGCACATCTGGATCACAAGACACCCATTAAACCACCCACCCATATAGAACCTAGCGGCACTGGTTCAACTTGACATAAAGCGTTTGTGTATGTGTGTGTGTTTGTGGGTGTGGTGTCCTGGTTTTCCTCGCACACCAGACCTGGAGCGTTTTTCCCGTGGGGAGGCTGGCCACACCCAAGGAGGAGGAGCACACACACA